GGCGTGGTGGCGGTGTGAGAGAGAGAGGGCGGCGACCGGTTGAAAATGTAGAGAAAGAGAGACGGGTGAGAACTAGTGAGAGAGAGAGAGAGGTGAGAATTAGGGATTTAGGTTAAGGGTGGGGTGTATATAATTTAAATTTCATAATATTTTTATTAATATTTAATTAAATATAAAAAATTTGTATCTATACATTAAAATATCTGATTTTCGAAACTTAAAACATCAAATCTGATTTTAGAAATTGAATCTTCAAATGTAGGGGATTGTGTAATTTCCACAAGGTTGATGCCCTCTATTCTTCCTCAGTTAATGGGTCAGAAAGCCCAGTTCATTTATCTCAAAGCTGCAGTCCTTATTGGGCTCGATCAGTCCAGGAGAGACCGGGCTATATGATAATACTAAGGTGTAACGTGTTTGGAAAATTTAGGTAAGTGGCATCTTTTGGCATATTATAATTTATCATCTCTTTCGTGGGGGTATGGAAGCAAAACTAGAGGTGGTTAATTCAGTTATGATAAGTTAGATTGGTTTTCGTCGATGGAAAAGATTTGATGGAATTTTAATAGATAAATAACTTATATGGAAATTATGATATTTATACGAGACGTCTCGAATAAGTTAGTGTTTGTATTTTGCTCAAGATTGGACACTAATGTATATTCTACCTTGACATTTGAGTTATAAGAGATTATTTGCCCATGAAATTAGTCTATAATTGTCACAAAAGTTACCAATTGTAGTTCTTATTTTCATATTCATGAACATTATCTATCAACCAAACTAGGTGAAATGGCTCCTTAATTAGTAGAAATTTGTAGGTGCACCTATCCTCCACAGTGGGGAATGTCGAATTCATTAGGTATGCATATACTAAATGAACTTCACACCAAGTTGGTCGAGTCAAGTCCCTTTGTATGGAGCCCACATATGTTCTTTTAAATTATTGTTTCCACGATTGTTCCACCACTAAAAAATGATACTTCACCATATGTTACATTGCACCTCTTTCTTCTTATTTCAAAGCCTTATACTCAAACGCCTTTCCCATTTGTTAACATTTTAGGTATTCCATTTTTATGTTGGACCATACTACATGTACCGAATTTTTTTACCAAATCCCTTACCGACTACTCATAACAGGGGGTGGAGACCACATATTGGAATTTTTTTTATTCACGCGGGGCCCGTGTGCATGTGAGAGGAGGTAAACAATTCAGTACATGAAATTATATACAAATATCTTAAGGAATTTGAAACAATAAGAATGAGGTGAAGTGTAAATTCTAACAAGGTGTCATTTATTTAGTGACAGCTAAGGAGACATCAATTTGGGCACATATTTGGACCAAACTTGCAACCTCACATACTTTACTATGTTGCGTAGTGTAACATATTAAGGTCAACTAGTTCAACAACGCTTTGGAAATGAGAAATTCTATTAGAAATGGTCACATTGATATCTAGAAAATTAGTTTAATTTATGTGTGTAGCACGTTTGGCAAAGCCTAGAAACTTTTTTTTAAAAATCATCTCCTCAAGTTTTGTACATAATATTTCCAAAACCAAAGGAAGTATTTAAGGTAATAAAATGACAACATTCTACTTGTTTTTTCCTAGTAAAATTGTTTTATTCTTAGGTTATGTGGGTTCACTAAAACATATGTCGAAAATATGGCTTAACAATGTTGACATGCTAAAATTGCTTAGGCCCAGGCTGTACATATAAATGCCTAACATCCCACATCTTAATTTCCAGCTCTTTTTCAACAAGTTGTTATATTTTTTTTTATTTTGGTGGAAATCGAAGATCGATCCTTTACTAGAAGCATGGAAAATTTAGTCGATGAAACATTTTCCATTGAATCCAAATTCATATTTATCGAATTAGTTGTGCCATATAAATAAGTGTGTTTTAGCTCTACAATATGCATGAGATTAACCGCGTCGATGGAGTCTGAAGTTACGACCATTCGTGTAGATCCATCATCATCAATGGAAGGTGAAACTTTGATCTTGCCCATAATAGAAAACAAATTTATTTTTAGTATTTTGTTCCTATGTATGAGATTTATATGATTGTTCTTCGCTGCTTCGCACGGCCAGTGACAGAGTCGACCATATTTTATATATATAAAAGACTTAAATCTTTTTTATTATACCGTCCAAACATGCCCTTGAAGTAATGTTTACATCTCTGTTCAATGTTTTTAGATTATTCCTCGACACGTTGAAAAAATATTAATAAAAAATGCAGGGAAGCAGATGGAAGGAAAAGGAGAGAGAGAGAGAGAGATATATATATAAAAGACTTAAATCTTTTTTATTATACCGTCCAAACATGCCCTTGAAGTAATGTTTACATATCTGTTCAATGTTTTCAGACTATTCCTCGACACGTTGAAAAAATATTAATAAAAAATGCAGGGAAGCAGATGGAAGGAAAAAGGAGAGAGAGAGAGAGAGGCTCTACCACTGCAACCAAGTTTTAAGGATAGGACCTTATCTTGTTCAATCGCTAACTCATGAGTTGGGCACCGCATGTATTTCATTCAATTTATATCCACAACTTTTTGTAATTTAATTGTTTCAACATCACAAATTTTATCTGGACAGTATGATTTGCTTAGAGTCTGGTATTTAACAAAGCTAGGTTTCGGCTAAGATGTTAAAACAATTTGAAATCATTCGAGCATTTTTGGAAGTTGTTTATAATTGATTTAAATTATAAATAGATATAAATGATTGATGGGTAAGTAACTTGTAGGTCCCAAAAATATGGGATAAATAGATTATTCTTGGTGTACATAAAAATTTGTAAATAGGGGCGTTCTTTCCCTCACATGTGGTGTCTTTTCCCTCTCACCCACTGAGAGAAAGGACACCCCTATGTACAAAAAAATTATGCATACCAAGCATGACCCTTCTGTCAATAAGAAAGAGCCGAGCGAACAAATGAAAAGTTGAAGACTAACTCGCTTGATTATAAATGTTAGGACCAACTTACTGCTCGAACGATGAGTCGAAAACTAATGGTGCATAAAAAATAAACCAATAATGTCCATGCAAAGAGTCGTGGCGAATGGCCATTGCATGCATGTCACACAGTTCATACAAAGGGTTCTCACAAAACTTTAAACTCCCCCATATTCCATGAGAAAATTAAATCTCCAGCGTCCAAATCTGATCTGCGACATTAGAAGCTGTTATTTCATCAACTTTCACTTTCATTATCCAATGGAGCCTATATCCTGGTGGGGTGGGTGGGGGTGAAGTGGTTGAGTTTTAAAGGCAGAAAGTTGTATGCTGCGTTGCACAATGTCGACCGTTAACGGGTGCGCTCTTACTTCTCTCGTTCCCACCGCACAATCTTCTTCGACCCTCAAGAGACGCCCCC